CTGCCTTTATCAGAAGCAGTCTGTGACCGTAGGGAGCTCAGACCACTGCGGAAAGGGCTGCTGCCACCCTACGCTGCTGCTTCTGTATCAGAGGAAGCAGCGCAGAGCGGAAGGCAGCCTATCTGTACGGGGAGCTGGTTTTTAAACTGGATCCCCTCACGGACTGGCCCCCACCTGCTACTCCATGCGGCTGCTTCTGATATAGAGGCAGCAACATGGAGTAGCAGGGGGTTCCCCGCACTGGCAGCTGGACCCACTCGCATAGTCACGTAACCACTGAGATTTCATGCGGTTCCCCGGCTATTCAGGTACCCGACAGCTAACATCCCTAATGACCACACCACACGGAACCCCACAGCCTGAGTCCTGTGAGCCAGAGTCAGTGGAGGTGGAAGAGCAGTGGGTGTTCGACCGCAGCGTAGATACCCCCCCTGAGTCATGAGTGCTCAGCATGACAGTTTGTGGTGATGGTTCTTTCCTCACAACTTCTGTCAGCATCGAGGAGTTAAAAGCATGCTGGGAGCGGGGAGCCCTAGTGTACCGTGTCTGACACCACAGCGATGATGTCTACTGAGGTACTTAGCAGACATGTTTCCTATCGGTTAATTAAATAGTCGATTAACCTCATGAATTCTTATCTGCTATTTTATAGTCCCCAGGGGTGGGGCCAGCAGCCAATGTGCTCTGGGCCCCCCTCCCGAGGAGCCCCCTGACACTTGGCATTGCTGCCTCTGTATCAGAGGCAGTAGCACGGGGTGCCAGGCGGGAGCTGGTCCTTGAGGGCAGCCAGTTTAAAAACCAGCTCCCCTCGCAGACCGGCTGCCTGTCGCTCCGCGCTGCTGCCTCTGATAAAGAGGCAGTTGCAGGGGGTGGCAGCAGCTTCTGACCGGGGCAGGCTGAGCTCCCGGACCCGGCATGAGCTGGAACTGAGCCAGGCTGCTGTCGAGTGTGCTAAAAAGTTTACTGGCAGAGGGGGGAGGGATGCGTGTAGTTTATAGCATTAACTGATACGTTTTTGCTTATTGGTGAATCAGCTACACAATTACATCCCTGGCACTTAGACAGACAGGATGCTCTTGATTTCTCTGGTTGATCAGGAACAGGAATGGCCAGCCATTTGGTACCGCCAACTGGCAGGATCGCTGGTGGTTATGGTGATATGGGGTATGTCTACACTACCCTCCTAATTCGAACGAGGAGGGTAATGTAGGCATTCCGCACTTGCAAATGAAGCCCGGGATTTGAATTTCCCGGACTTCATTTGCATGAAGCCGGCCGGCGCCATTTTTAAATGCCGGCAGTTCGAATCCCGTGCCATGTGGCTACACGTGGCACAGAGTAGCTAGTTTGGATTAGGCTTCCTAATCAGAACTAGATGGAAATATGTACTGAAGTTTTGCAAAATGACCAGAGAGATGGAAGTCAAAGAGCTTCTGGTACATACAAAGAGCTTCTGGTACTCCACGAGGAGTAGAGCTAGTTCAGATTAGGAAGCCTAATCTGAATTAGCTACTCCGTGCCGCGTGTAGCCGCGTGGCACGGGGTTCGAACTGTCGGCATTTAAAAATGGCGCCGGCCGGCTTCATGCTAATGAAGCCCGGGAAATTCAAATCCCGGGCTTCATTTGCAAGTGCGGTATGCCTACATTACCCTCCTAGTTCGAATTAGGAGGGTAGTGTAGACATACCCATGGGTTCCCATGGGCAATAACAGCTACTCAACCTGCTTTTGAGGATGGGACATGCTGAGTATGGCAGAAGAGACAATTAAAGAAAACTGGTCCCGGTGCCCTTAATAGGAGAAAATTTGAGGAAAAAGGCAGAGCAACCATACAAAATGTCTTCCAGTTGTGCTTGACAGAGGCCATTCAACAGAATTATGGGGCTTCTTGGGCCAGGGCGACAGCAGGTCTGTAAAAGGGGGAGGGGAGGCTGAACCATGGCCCTGCCCTTGTACTGCCCCTTCCCCCCAAAGCCTTTTGCCCCTCCCCCCTAGAGCTCCCTTTGCCCCCCTCACTCCTCTCTATCCCCTCCCACTTGCCCTTCCAGCGGGTAAAAAGCGATGCAGCCATAGCCCCCCAGCCTCGCAGGCCCACGCATTACTGGACAGCTTTGGAGAGCCACTGCAGTATATTCAGTTGTGCACAGGGGAAGTCTCTAGTGTGCCACTCTGGACTGGCAGAGGCTCCACTTCGGAGCTTTTCTTTACCTCCTGGTTATGGTTTAAAGAAGTAATCTGACTCAAGACCAGCAGCTCCAAGCCACATGTGGAAAACTTTATAAGTGCAACTTTTACAATTACCTTGGGATTTTCCGAAGTAGTTTTTGGCCATAAATCATGACAGGCACGAGTTGAGCTTTGTTGCTGCAATTAGTCAGTAGTTACACATCTACATGGTACACACAGTTTCCACAAGCACTTGAACATTTAGGGTATGTCTAGACTACATGGCTCCGTCGATGGAGCCATGTAAACTAGTTTACCCAGCATAGGCAAAATAAACATGGCCGCCACACTGTGCCGACCATCAGCTGATCCGGCACAGCGCGGTAGTCTAGACGCAGATCGGTCGGCTGGGGAAGCCTTTGCCGGCCGATCCTGTAAGCCTCGTTTCACGAAGAACCCCCCTTTTTCGAAACATCCCGTAAACCTCATTTTTTGAGGAGTCCAGGATCTTTCAAAAAAGGGTTTGTTTTTTCTGAAAGAACTGCGTCTAGAGGGTGGTTTCACTTTCAAAATACCCATTTTTGAAAGAACGTGCAAATAAAGCGCGGGAAATTCAAATCCCGGCTTCATTTGCCATTTCGATATGTCTAATTCACATCCCTCTTTCGAAAGAGGGATGTAGTTTAGACATGCCCTTAATGACTTCACTTCCTTTAGCTCAATTGGATGATGCTCTTCTGCTATGTGGTCCTTAATCTCCAAAGCTTGTAATGTTATTTCCCCCATCTTGATCTCTCTCCTCTCTACCCTGATAGCCTGTTTCTATTTTCCATCAACAGCCCTCCAAAGCACTGCGCCGAGCTAGCTTGCCTTTCAGCCCAAAAGTTGGCTGTGATTTGTTCTGGGGAGCAGTCACCCAGCTGGGGTCAGAAACAGAGTGGGCCAGCTCTCAGACCCGTCAGGCTAGGAGTGGGAAATGACTCCCAAATGCCATTTTGCACGGGGCAAGGGGCTGCTCTTTCATTGAACCACCAGGGTAGCTGTGCGCGTAGAGTACTTAATGGCTATATGTCCATTTCTAATTAAGCAGAAAGCAGTATAAGGGGACGACGACTACAAGTTCTTTTTTTAAGTAGTAAGTTATTTCCCCCAATAGCTACTTTTCTAAAATTATTTTTAAAATACCATCTTAAAAGAGGAACAACATACTCCAGGGCATGTAGTTGTAAAGATATATATATGCACTTTCCCAGTACGGTAGGCACTCACCCTTTGGCCTCATTTTTATGGCTCTACACCCTGGAGTGGTGTTATTGCTTACAAATACATACATATATACTTATGGGTGTATGTGAGATGTGCAGATGTTTTATTTATAAGTGGCAGGCCTTATTGCATCATTGAAACATGCATTTACAAACAGATATAGGTTTTATGAAACCCTATTCCGTTGTTTTAATAGCTAAGCTATCCAGCCATAGCATAATAATGCACAAGGTAAATGTGTCTCCATCTCTAGAACCTGTTCCAAGTTTTCTCAGATGTGACTAACTGCAAGAATTTTCCAAGCATCAAAAGTTAATAAAAAAAAAAATAGACAAAATAAGGCAGTCCAAATCCTTGGTAACAAACACAGACTGATGCAGTAGAGGGGCTTTTGGTGAACTTTAAGGTCCTAATTGAGCAAAGTATTTAAGTATGCACCTAACTTAAGCATGAGAGTAGATTCATTGAAGTGAATATGGTTAAAAATTAGATGCAGTTCAGTGCTTTGTTGAGCAGGGTCGACATTGAAATAAGTCTGCGTCAAAGGGTAATTTTAGAGGTAAGTCTCTAAGCAGAAGACAGGTGCAATGCCCCCAGTTTCACAGTGTGGTAGGAAGAAAGGAGGGTAAGTTGCACATATGTTTCGTTATCTTGTTATTGTCACTTAAACTTATTCTTAAGTATGCAATGCAAAGAAAGAAAAACATCATTTATATAAATCTACACAGTGCATCTGGCAGTGATAAGCAACGTAATAACACTTTAAAGACAGGGAATGGTGTGTGACACATTAGTAGGAGTGGACTCTAATTATTGTTTACTAATGCTAGATGCTACCATTATTCTAACAGCTTGTGCATTGTCAAATCAACATTCTGCACTACACAAATGACCAGTTGGGAACTGTTCGGGAGCAGCTCTCCTCTTATTACTGCTTGACTAAAAAAAATGCCATTTACAAGCAAAGAAAACTGCCTCTGAGCCAAAAATACTGGAAGTCTTTCTGAGGAAATACCAAAGATACATATGAACTTGATCCTCTATAGCCAATCTAATTTCATTCTACATGAATATAAACGAAAACAGTGACAACGGGAATTTTCTGTAGGATTTCATTAGTACCGTAATACGTTGAACATATCCTCTGTTTTCAATCTTCAGGTTTTGAAAGGTTATGAGTGGCAAATGATGACAAAGAATGATTGGCATTAAATTGTAATCCCTGAACAGGCACCCTGAAGGACCTCTGCATTCAGCTTCAAAATGGTTTTGACTGAAATTGATATCGGCACGAAAGTCCCAAGAAAAGATCAGGAGAAATCCTGACTCCACTGAAGTCAATGGGAGTTTTGCCACGGACATCAATGGAGCCAAGGCACCAAATGCACTGGATCTGATAACCTTGGGGGTGAAATCGTGACCCAACTCAAGGCAATATTAGTGGGTGGTTTTCCTGCAGTGGAGCCAGAATTTCTTGGTTTCTGTGTGTGCTTTGTTTATAATTAACTTTGCAATTACTGGTGAGAAAAACAGATACACTCCCATATACATTATGGAGTTCCACTTACCATTAAGTCTTCAGGAGCCGGCCTCTCCTTTGGTTGCTTTCTCATGCTGTGTATCATAAAAGTGAAATGATTATATATAAACAACTGTTCATGTATTTCACATGTTTAAATACTGAAGACTTCTTCCTTCAACACAGGTAGATCGAGATCATGCCCTAGAATTTCAATGTACTTCTTAACTTTACCAAGTACAAACTGAAGACACAGCTCCTAGTAGTACCCACAATGTTAATCAATTTTCTCTTTTCTTTTTTCAGCTTTTCGTTCCGTACAATGTTGCTGCATCCCAGATAAAACAGTTATGTATTCTACTGCTAATTAGAAGGCTCTCTAGAATATGGACGGCTTTTCTACTTTTCTTTTTCTCTGTGCTTGAGCATTTGAAGTCTTTAAACACAAAGGGTCACTTTTATATCATTTTTAAAATGTGGTCATATCTATCACAAACTTCCAAAGAATGTTTTCTTGTTATGTCTAGAACCAATCGCATTCTAAATTAATTTTGGCGCCCTTGTTACTGGGGATTCCTGCAAGGATAGTGATCAGTACAAAGTCAATTGAGAAATCATGGCAAATTTGTTCTCCTTTTGACATTGCTATATACAGTAGTTGGACAGAAATAGAATTTAAGCAGGTGGGACATTTAATTTTTAACACTAAACAGCTACAGGGTAGCACACAGTGCCCTGGTATGTCTCCCTTAATTTTTTCACACTTATTTCCACTGCTCTGAAGGCTGACAGTTCATTATGGAGCATTAAGCAGTTTATAAGATCAAGTTTCCTATCCACATAATCCTAGTTTTTTAGGCAACAGGTGCAATTAACATCTGTAGACTGAGATTAGCTGCATGATGGACCACTGTCACATGGCAGCGCGGTGACCACTAGGAGTTGCCTGCTGCCTAATTGGATTACACTCAAACAGCCCGAGTTTATGGTGTAACTGGCATAAAGTCAAAGTCTGATGTGCTGTTCACTTGACGTGTCTGATGCTTATAGGAGTCAACTGCTAAAAGAGTGTACAAAGCAATTTTTTGGACAATAATTCCTCAAGCTATTGTAAGACACATACTATACAGGTTAATATTAAACCATACCTAAAAATATGTACAATGTTCTTGTGGCAAATAGGAGGCATAGTACCATTAATGATTCAAAGGACATTTTGCCATCCTTATATATCACCACATGCACCTCAAATAATGCACACCGTAGCAAGTAATACAAGCTGTCTGAGTGGTGGGTGGGTAACAGTCCTAATTTGGTATTCCAAAGTAGCTGTATCTCTTGGGAAAACCAGGCTATTATCCACCATCATTTATGTTTCTTGACATCTGTGGAAATTTTAACACAGGTTAGCCCTCCCCCCTTTCCCTATACAATTTTTTATGCAACATCTAATTAATTTTTTGGGGAAGGGATAAAAAGGTGCAATCTGGTTAGTCCTGCGATAAAATTACCGCACACTGTGGCCTACTGTACATTTTATCTATAAGAAATGAGGCTTGTAGTCTATAAACACAAATTGTGTATTTATTATTTTAATTAACTGATAAATCAGACTATATATTCTTCATTTTCAATATAATTTGCTACCCACTATGGGAATCTTGAGAGAGTGTGTCTTGGAATTGTTTCACACATAGTATATTTAATTATCTGAATATTCATTTTATTTGAATACTTTTTGGTTCATTGGGCCTAATATGTGCTAGAGAACTTGAAATGTTTTAAAGCGCAAGATACCCAGCTGATCCTGTGTGGGGCTCAGAGCCTTTAACTTTGCTGGCTTCACTGGAAAAGCTTCCCTAAATTGCTCCTCTCCTAAATACTGCTTCAGGGCCAGATTCTCGGCTGGCATCAACTGGCATAGCTCCATTGATTACTCTGACTCTACTGGCTCTGCCAATTCATGCCAGCTGGGCAGCCGGCCCAGAAAGTGCATTTTAACAAATGGGAACGTGTCTTAGTCAAAAACATCCCATTTATACAAAGTTCAATCTCCATTATTCTGCCTTCATTTTATTACTGAAATGGCGACTCCCTTTGTAAATGAGACATTACAAAAATATGCATTTCCTCTCTCCCGATTGTACAATACATTATACTTAGCTCTTCAGGCTTTTGTTGCTTAGGAAATTTATTCTTTCAACAATATTTTCTCCCTCTCTCTGAAATTTAGGTGCCTTCTACTGAACCGTTCAGTTTGGAAGAACGAACACACACCCTATGGTGCATTATAAAATATGACTCCGAATAAAAATTACTTACTGGAAAGCCTATGAATTAATCAAGGACACTGTTTACCTTTCTAAATGTTGAGACAGTTTTATGAGTAATAATCCAAGTGGCCCAGAATAATAAAGTTATAAATATGATTCTCTCTCCCCCCCGCCCCAACCCTCCCAATTGAACTCTTAAAATAGTCTCTATGCACAAGAATGCACCCAGATTCACAGCGGGTTATTAAAAACAGGAAAAACCCTCTTAAGTACTTTTATGACCCTTTGTGTAAATAACGTTTACATAATTTAAACAGTTTGCTCAGCTTAGCTGCCCCATCTGCCCAAGGCCCCTGAGTCCCTCTTGCCTGAGAAAGGATGCAGGGGGAAGCCATAAGGTCTCAAGGAGCTGCAGAGTTAATGGCATGTATCATTTACATTGAGGGCATGGCATGTTTGCAAACTGAGCTTACCATTGAGTGATGAAGTGTACAAATGGCTCAGAGAACTCCCCAACCGGAAGGACTGGCGATTCCTGGGATGGGTTTGATATTTGGGGGAGGGGAGGGGGAGAAAGAAGCAGAAGAAGTGAGGACAATTTTTCAAAAGGGAAGCAATACAAGATTACAAATGGAGTAAGCGACAATGCCCCTTCTCACGCAGAGAAACAGAGGAAAAGGAGCAAATTCTTCTAAACGTGTTATAAAACACTGAATTGAAAGTAATGAGCATTATACAAGGGGTAGAAGCATGTGGAAAGACACTGAGGGGAGGTGAAAAAAGGACAATGATAGCCACAGA